ATTTTTACTATATATATACATATATATATATATATTAAAAAACCTTTAACGAAATAGTGTTTGTATATTATGGCAGTACGTTTGATATATTTTTTTTAATCGAAACCAACAGGTCGAACAAACACGTCAATCTCATTTGACAGGATATCTCCTAAATATTTTCCTTTGCAAGTCTTGCCCAAACTCCATAAAAGGTATGCTTTTCATCACTTCAATTTGAAACTTTCATCTCCAACTCCTAATAACATAGGAGTTGAAAACTTAGCGAATAATTTGGTATCACTACAAGTGAGGCGAATATATCACATAAATAAACCAAATCAACGAAACTCAGTTACTGAGTAATCATGTATAAAAAATTAAATTTAAAATTCAAAAGAATCGGCATTTAATGATAGACAATTCTGAAACAGCGAACTTAAATCATAAAAGTTTAGATAAAATCAATCCATGATTTATACAAATACTGTAACTCACAAATAGACCAATAAAATGCAGTCAAAATTTCAATTTAAATACAAATTCCTTTTGACCAGCCAAAAATAGCCATTTAAAACGCACAATCCAAAACAAATAAAATCATTTAAACTAAAAATCTACCCGTTACAAATAAGTTTCAATCAACCACTTCAAGCTAATTTCGTTAAGTAAAGCAAAACTCAAAATCATTTAAAAGATCTGGATGATAACAGTAGGACAATGAATTTCAGCTTGATACTAAATCAGATCCTGTTGAAGATAACCATTGTGTTTCAGGACATATCAATTACCACAGACAGAAAGTCACCAAATGCCTAAAATCAAAACTAACTTGAAAAAGAGGGATGAGAATGTTGCAGCAAGCATGCACAAAGAAATGCAACAAGCAAACTACGTACATATATAAAAGAACAAACTTCATTAGGCGGTGTTCCAAATGTCATTAATTGCCCTGTCTAGAACTGTTTGTTCTGAATTGCAATTCGAACACATAAACTCACCTCCATGTACATAATAGGAGCAAACAAAAAAGAGCAAAAAATTCATTGAATTAGCCAAGCCAAGAGCTCCAGGGATCCATATCTTTACTCCAAAATAATAGATTCAGAATCTGATGTCAACGGGGTCTCGCGAGGTTGGAGAGTCCTTCTTCGTCCCCGCGAATGGTAGGGTCGGGGATCCCTGCGGGAGGCAAATTTTGCCCCCAATTCCCGTTTCTCGCGGAGAATCCCAGCGGAGATCCCAATTTCCCACCAATTAATATAAAAAAATAAATTTTTTACATATAATTAATTAATATTTAATTATAATAAATATAATTTTAAAAATTCAAGTATAATTAATTAAAATTTTTTAAATTAAATCATCCAAACATAAATAAAGATCAATTTAATATAAATAACTAAAAGGTTAATAATAGGTTGGATAAAATTGGATTAAATTTAAATTTTATTGAATTGGATTTATGTTTGAAGGTTGAATTAAATTTAAAATAAAACTAATTTATATATTTTTTTAATTTTTCGCAAGAATAGGAATTCTCATGGGGTCCCGTGGGTAGGGAAAATTTCCTATAAATTTTCACATGGAAAAAATACTCTTCGTCCCCGCCCCGTCCCCGTGGTGGCGATTCTCACGAGATCCCGCGGGGATCGAGACAAATTGCCATCCCTATTTATATAAAGGTTTATTCAATAAATTAAGATATAAATAATCTAATAATTTATGATATTAAAAATTATTTGATAATCCGTGCATATTATTAATCATTAAATTAAAAAAGATCCTTAATATTAGAGAACTCTCATTATGTTTTGTAATCTAGTTCAAATTTAAACATGCAAAATATCATATTTTTACTATATATATACATATATATATATATATTAAAAAACCTTTAACGAAATAGTGTTTGTATATTATGGCAGTACGTTTGATATATTTTTTTTAATCGAAACCAACAGGTCCAACAAACACGTCAATCTCATTTGACAGGATATCTCCTAATAGCAAAGAAGGGAATACCACTAAGGTTGTCATCAAGACGGCATTGCTTACAATATTTTCCCTTGCAAGTCTTGCCCAAACTCCATAAAAGGTATGCTTTTCATCACTTCAATTTGAAACTTTCATCTCCAACTCCTAATAACATAGGAGTTGAAAACTTAGCGAATAATTTGGTATCACCACAAGTGAGGTGAATATATCACATAAATAAACCAAATCAACGAAACTCAGTTACTGAGTAATCAAGTTTAAAAAACTAAATTTAAAATTCAAAAGAATCGGCATTTAATGATAGGCAAATCTGAAACAGTGAACTTAAGTCATAAAAGTTTAGATAAAATCAGTCCATGATTTATACACATACTGTAACTCACAAATAGACAATTAAAATTCAGTTTAATTTTTAATTGAAATAAAAATTCCTTTTGACCAGCCAAAAATAGCCATTTAAAACGCACAATCCAAAACAAATAAAATCATTTAAACTAAAAATCTACCGGTAACAAACAAGTTTCAATCAACCACTTCAAGCTAATTTCGCTAAGTAAAGCAAAACTCAATATCATTTAAAAGATCTGGATGATAACAGTGAGACAATGAATTTCAGTTTAATACTAAATCAGATCCTGTTGAAAATAACCATTGTGTTTCAGGACATATAAATTAGCATGGACAGAAAGTCACCAAATGAAATTCCTAAAATCCAAACTAACTTGAAAAAGAGGGATGAGAATATCGCAGCAACATATGCAAAAAGAAATGCAACAAGCGAACCACGTACATATATAAAAGAACGAACCTCATTTAGGCTGTGTTCCAAATGTCATTAATTGCCCTGTCTAGAACCGTTTGTTCTGAATTGCAATTCGAACGCATAAACTCACCTCCTGTACATATTAGCAGCAAACAAAAAAGAGAAAAAAATTCATTGAATTAGCCAAGCCAAGAGCTCCAGGGATCCATATCTTTACTCCAAAATAATAGATTCAGAATCTGATAATCCCAGCAATACGTCAGTACTCAAGAAAACTAAGTTTCTACTCCTGAAAACTTGTAACATTATAGTGCTATATTATGTACAAAGTTAGAGTTAAGGAACACCAAGGAAACTAAATCATAACTGGCGTAAAAACTGAGAAAAATCACTTCAACATATGTCCCTTAGATCATGAATCGTATCTTCCAAGTAATACATTCATCACAAAAACAAAAAAATTAGATAATATTTTACCTGAAAATGTTAATGGATGCATCTAATGCATATTTCTTGCAGACCCATCTCCCCTTTCTTGCAGAGTTACCGGTTACCAAATTCACTGTTGGACATCTATAAATTCCTGGATTCTCTTTAACAAACTGGTGTGAGAATCCAGTTAAATGTTTACAGATCAAAGCCAAAGAGAAAGACAGAGTATGAACTGGACTTTTGGAACTTCACGGTTGTGACGTTTTTTTTTACAGAAGCCGGTGAAAAGTTTTTGTAATCGGCTAATTTTTGTAAGTAAAGGGTTGGAATACCCCCTGTATTCCATAATTAATAAATTCCTTTGCCTT